TTAACAGGTTGAGTAGATGGTACCACATGGAAGTCAGCCATGTAGTACCAGTGACCCTCCTTGAGACCTGGCCGGAAATTGTATAAGTAGTTTCCAGGAGGGATAAATGCATCAATCTGATTGGCCTAGGCATATAAGAAGAACTAAATAGTAAGTTTTCTCTGTGAAGATTCAAACAAATTAGTAAATCTGTGACTTAAGAAACAGAGGTTCAATAGAAGAAATTTTCTAACCTTTTCATCAGTCAGAATCATAATCGTAGGTTCATCAATAGCGTCTATACCTTGATTCCAGATAGATAAAATCTTCACGTACAAAGTCCATCTAGGTCTTTGCAGGTTGAGATCGGAAATGTAGTCAATAGTACCCATTAGAATCACAGAAAGTGTAAGTTTTTCTCAGTTTTTTTTTATAGAGAAGGTTAGGTTTCTGAATAAATCTAAAGGTTAAGTCTGAGTATTTATAGAATCGTGTAGAGATGTGAATGAATAGATTTAATTTCCTATATAAAATAGATATTATATATTGTAAATCATTGAAACCGTTTGAGATAAGTAAAGTTAGATATAATATATCAAGGAAACTGAATCGTTAGCCTGTAAAAGATCTTTATTCATAATTATAGTAATGATTATATAAAACTGTGCTTTCCATATTACGATTTCCAAGAATTTCCATCATTGTTTATAATAGAGATTTCGTGCGGGTAACATAAGGATTTTATAGCGGTTCTACTTTAGCTGTTGAGGTCTAATGATTAGATTAAGACATAGCGGTTCTGCTATTTCAATACTTTATAGCGGTTCTGCTATTTCAATAACTGAGTAAGACATAGGTACAGTAGACAGAAATTGAAACAGGTTTGTTAGAGGAAATTAACCAAAAAATCAAAATGAAACATCAATTAAAAACCAAAGTAAAAAACCAACAAATGTCTAACAATGAAATTTTAAAAAACTTGGAATTATGATAACTCCTTATTGCTTAGCAAACAGAAGCTAGATCACTATTTCTCTTTTTTGATCTTAATTCCAACTGCTTTAGCCACATGCCTAGTCTCCTTCTTCTCAGTCACAGGAAGATCACCACTGTCTTGAACACCCTTTCCTTTGTTGCTTTCAATCTTGACATTCTCTACCTTCACAACTTCAGAGATCTTGTCAGGAACTCCATTTTGAGACAGACCATTCTCCTCAAATTCTAGTTCTGACTTCTGTAAGTCTTTAGGCTCGATGCACACCTTCTTAGAACTGGAGGATTGCTCTGACTCAGACAGATTAGGAGCATAAACACGCTTGGAAGATGGAGTGGATGAGTCAGACGTGTCTTGACTCATTGTTAACATGAGACACTGAATATAGAGATTATCCGTAGGAGTGATTGTTAATATAATTTTAAGGAGATTAGATAGTTAAAAAATGTTACCTGATCTCCAGAAACAATTGAGGCAGGATTAACCAATTGTTCAGATTCCTCAAGGACATCTTCTTGCAAAAGTCCATCTTTGTTTAGGATTCTTGAAACCTTGAAAGAATCCTTACCATCCCAAATGTTTTCTTTCTCAACACATAGCAGAAAGAGAAAGGTCTTCCCAACCAAATTCCTTATTACGTCAGGCAAATCATTAGGGTCCTCAATCTACATAAGGAATTTAGTACTTATCAATTGAATGTTTCATGTATGTCAATTACATATATGGTTTAGCATAATAGAATGTTACCTCATTGAATGATCCACCTAGCAATGATGCAGCAGTTTCACCAACAATTTCTGAGCATATACTGTCAAACAAAAGACATTTTGTTTCACCAGTGTTATCCATCACCTTAACATATAGCATGTACCTTCAATAAGAGAAGTCATATTAGTAATTATTTCAAAGGGAAAAACACAAACTTATAAATATGCATTATTATCAGATTAAGAAAAGAAGACTCACTTTGCTACAACATTAGTGACAGCATTCCTGCAGACGTCACACCAAAACTTTGGCTTTTGTTTCTTCATGGAAGCAGTATTCACTCCAGAATGAATATGAGTGACCTTTTTGTTACAGTTACGGCAACTAAAGTAATACCAAGCCCAATCTGTATCAATTCCATAGATTGTGCAGATAACTCT